CCAGAGAACGAATTCAATGATTTCGTTGAATGCGATGCAAATTTGGACTGCTACGGCGAGTTGACTGCCGAAGAAATTCTGGAAGAAGTCCGTCAACAGAGAAACGATCATGATGAGGAGGAAGAAGAAGCACAGCAGCAAGTGCTGCCACCCCCGCCCAGTCGCAAGGATGCACTGGCCGCTCTGACCGTCCTCCGTGCTTATTTTGAGCACAAAAATGTTGATCTGAACAACGTGGATGCACTGGAGGATCAATTTTGTGATCTGTCTTCTGAAAACTTAGTCCAGAAAAAGATTTCCGATTATTTCAAATGATGTTTTGTTTAGTGACAATAAATGTTTTCTATAACTAATCAATAGCTATTTGAGCAAAAATTGAACCAGGATTAATGTATTTAAGCAAAACCCGGATAAATGCACAAACCGCATAAGTGCACAAAATTTTCTTGCCGGGTCGATGTGCACTTAACCGGTTTTCACTGTATTTTCAAAGTAATTATAACGTGAAGAAAACTCATTGACCTTATCTGCAGTGCATGTTTTAACTCGAGCGGATGCAGATATAGTTTTTTATGATGGGGAATTTCTCGCGACCCATCTTGAAGTCTCTTGCGACCCACCAGTGGATCGCGACCCACAGTTTGGGAACCGCTGTCCTAGAGGATATCAATGAATCCTCATATCTTTCTTGCCAGTACCAGATGAATGGCGCGCATGGGAAGGTTCGGAGTTCTTTCGGCAGACTAAGAAGTCAACATCACTGACTACGATATGAATTTGTCTAGAGTCTAGACAATGTCAATGGCCTTGAATAACTTCAAATGACCATTTTTCGGCGTGTTTAAAAGATGAGCATTGGACAGAGGCACAACAAATTTCAGAGTAGTGTTCTTCCTACACTTTAAGAAATCGTCGAAAATATCTGATTTATCTTAAAAATGTACGACTAAGAGGATGTAAACCTGGATTTCCCCTAATGTCTCAAAAATTTCCTACATTTCCTCGGAAATCCCATTTCGTGTTCTTTGTGGAAAATTTTTCTTCTTATTCCTAAAAAAAATTACAGCTAAAGGACCTACACTCGAGATACGACCTCTACGAGAACTATGCTTTTCCTTATTCGCGTCGGAAAAACCTGTTTCGAATATTCTCCCAAAAGTCCTCATGATCATGCACTTCCCATACGTGTCAATACGGAAAGGATTCCGTATTGACATTCCAGAGAAGCCACCTTTAGTTTCTGACTTGAATGGTAGAGGACTCCCACTCGTTCCCAAAATCCCCACAATTATGACATCGTGATGCTTCGGGAAACAGAGTTGGATTTGCAAGGACAAAGGTAATTTCGTGGGTATTTTCCTATTGGATACAGAGGAAATGAAGAGCATGACAGCTTCTTCTCCCGTTGGGTAAAGAACTGCTCTGGAACGATGCGAGCCCTGATTCACCTATATCAGGGGTGTCAAACTCAAATCGGTCGGCGGGCCGCATTCCTTATCCTGCAGATGCCTGCGGGCCGCACCAATACTAAAAGTGGCTTTAAACACGATAGTCAGTTAGGTTCGCCTTTAAAGTTCTTGTCCACCGCCCGGCGATGAACCACCTCCGCGGGCCGGATCCGGCCCGCGGGCCGTATGTTTGACACCCCTGACCTATATCATCTACATTTCCTGGGTGCCAAACGGCCAACAACTTACGGACAAGGAAAGGTACGTCATGAAATGCAGAACTCGCTCGTCCTCCCCTTAATCTCTCTCTCTTTCTCTATCTCTGAGAAGAGAGAGGGGCGAGAATGAGTCGTGATCTTTTTGTCATGTTTTTGTCATAAACCTCCTTTAGCGAAGTTAAAGGAGGTTTAATCCTACTTTAGCGGCGCTAAGGTCTAGGTCGGCGCTAGGTCAGTTTCATGCAATCCACCCGATGGCATTAGGACCCTTCCCAGTTGGTGGTACACCACAAACAAGGTAACTGGTAATGTGCTGGCCCTTAAGCGGCCCAGAAGGTGGCGGGCCAGTCTGGCAAGTGGGACATGTACCTGGTGGCCCACAACCCAGTGAAGTTGATGGGTCACCAGCTCTCTTCCCCTAATGTAGGTAGCGGGCCACCACCTACGAGCTACTTGGGTATTTTCTACTGAATTCTTGAACAAGTGAACGAATCCATTCCCACGAGTCATGCTTTCCACGTCGACCCTGGAAAGAAGTTGAAATTTGCAGGACTGCTTGCAGGCAGTCTTTGAAGCCTAATTTGGGTTCCTTATCTCTTTGCAAACCCATTCCTAGAAACTATGAACAACCTAAAAATTTTCAATTGCTTCTATCTCAGATCTAGAGGGAAAATAGGCAGTTTCTTGGAAGACGCTTGGATGCATCAGTATGAAATATATCATCCTTGAGTGCTGACGGGAGATATAGGTGATCGTAATTTCGAAATTTTGGAAACAATATTTTCCAACATTCAGGGGATGACATTGCTTGAAAAATATCAATGTTCTTGATTAGTTCAATGCCTCTTCAGAGCTTTTATTTCTGATAAAACCAATCTTGTTGAAAGTACAGTTGTCAGAAACTTCAGAAGTTATGGCTGGTAAAATACTTTTTGCACTTTTTCCCCGTATTAAATATGCATTAAGTTGCATGCTCCCGAACTCAATATTTTGAAAACTGCTAGTCGTAGGAAGCTGAAATTTTGACCATAAAGTTTTGAATGGAATGGGGGGGGGGGGATCGAGATGATAATGTGGGTGTTCCTGACGTGTCCCCACACAGCACAGATATATCCCAAAGATATCCCCTTGGGACAAGTGAGAAGTTCCAGGTATAAATAGTACTTGCAGGCGCCTTCCTATCCGCAATGGGCTTAATTACTACCACACCGAAGAACCCATTACTTTCGAAGACGTCTTTGTTTTATCTAGGAGCACCTAATCTTGAGCTTTTGACCGATTGAAGAGTGACGATTATGGAGGAAGAAACTCTTGTTCCTAAGGGGAGCTCCATCATTAGAGACACATCTCCAAGGGACGAAATTTAGTACCTTTATCATGAGGAGTCATGGACGAGATAATTTTGCTTTACACCCTTTGAAACTACGGGCTCAGGCCTCCAACCAAAATAGTTGTATCTAGACATGCCGATCACTCATCATTAAATAGAATATAGCGGAATAAATTAAAATTCGGACAGCAATTTTTTCACTTTCCCTGGTGGCAATTTTCCTGATGTACGGTGCGAAAACCCTTACTTATCCTCATTAATTTGATAGAAAAGGTCTGCGGTTGCAGATCAGGGCTCATGGGAGACATCTACCGTCGTAGCTATGCACCTGACTGAAGGCGACAAAGAGCACAGAAGATACCGAAAGACATCCCTAAGACATCCTCCTCAAGATATCGAAAAGGGTTCGACTGAAGATATCTTCAAGATATCCCCTCCAGGATATCCAGAAGCATTCGACTAAGGATGTCTTAAAGATATCCCGAAAGGGATATCTTTTAGATATCGACTGAAGATGTCTAAAAGACGTCTCTTAGATGTCCCGAAGACATCCCTTACGAGATGTCCGAAACCGTCCGAAAGATGTCTTCAGGATATCTTATAAAGACCAGGGGACAAGTCGTCCAGTTAGGAATATCCCTGGGATATCACTGTGCTGCGTGGGGTCCGTATGTAGGTGATGCTAACTTAATGTAGGTAATGTGGACTCCATTTCAATGCCCACAGTGCCAGTGGAATCCATAAGGAAATAGGAGATGATACAATAGGAACAAATGTTATATTATAAAGCGTAACGCAGCAAGAGGTCGTCTACTCACACTCATGCATCCACCTTGTTGGAACCCATACAGTACGAGTATAAGGGAAAGGAAAGTGAGATTTGGTATGATTGCAGACCAAAAGAGGTTCCACCCGGGAGGAAAGAGAGGAAGATCACATCACGTAAACACACTCAAATAAGAATGACAAGAGTTCACTGTGTCTCCTTGTGGTCCGAGTTATTTTCATTTTTTCACGGTCCGGTCAGGAGGATGTCTCTTGGAGGTGTAAGAGAGGAGGTAACTCCTTCTCCTCGCATCCTTCGATGGGCACCTCCGTCTTGGGGTCCACAATATTAATATTCAAAACTCTAGCGACACAGCATATTGGATTAATTGAACTGGAATGCCATGCAGTCAAGGCCGAATTAATGGGGGAGGGGGCCAAAGGGGGCTGTTGCCCCGGGTCTCCCTTTTCCAGGGGTCCCCACGAAAGAATATACAGTTGAAAAGTTTCGTTAATCATTCAAGTGATGGGAGTCCTTAAGTCATCGTCTAAATGCTGTGCAACAGCGTAGAGTATGATGTTAAAATCAGTACGACAGGCTTACCTTAGCCGACTGAGACGTGCATTGTACTAGGGAGCTGCCTCGCATCGTGAGGCCATCTGGCGGGATAAAAAAAATTTGTTCATACGAAAACATGGCGGCGCACAAGGAAGAACGTTTTGACGGCGTGTTTCTCGGCGTGGCCCAAGAATGCGAAGGCGGCGTGCCCGAGGTCAGTTCACCCTTGATGTGATATACTCTGTACTCATTATGAAGCAGTAAAGAAGTCAAACCCATTTCGTACATGCTGTCAACGGTGTGAGAATGTCACCATATGGCGGGATAAATAATCATAAGACCAATTCGTACTTGTCTTTTTTGTTTGTTGTCGACTCACTTTAAAAAGGGAGTCGACCCATGACTGACACCCATGTGTAGCTCTTACCATGCATGGGCGTCAGCTGAAAAAATGCCGAACGGAAATTAAGTTCTCTGTTAGAGGTCTTGATTTAGGAATATAGTCATCCACAGTAGATACGAGCTTATCGAGGAACCGAAAATAAAAATAAAAATAGGAGATATTGGTGGTGTGGTTGGGTATCCTTCATCTTGTGAACATTACACTCTAGGGGACACTTCTCATGTGCAGTGGCTACCTTATGTGTCCACTAGGCTCAGGTGTGCAACACAAAAGAAAGTTCAGAAGACCTTGACAAATAGCTGTGTATTACAGAGCATTTCCTTTTACAGCAATAGAAACATATTGAGGTTACAAATTTAAGATTTGCAAAGGTCTTATGATAACACATCTTAACCCATTAATCCCAAAGTTTTAATATCAAGCTGAAAATTGGCATAAATATGGCCTACAGGCCCAATAACAGCCCACTTCGACTGTTGTTTTTTTGTGCCCATGAATTCGATTTAGTCAAGTTTATATGAGAATTTTAATTGCATTTAAATTATATTTAATTTGAGTTATTCAAAGGGTGTTCCAGAAGCTGTGCACCTATGTAATTTTTTTAACAATATGGAATATACTTTTTCTTTTGTTACAGGTTAATTATGACATTAACTAAAGGTGAGTAGGTGGAGATTATTCTGTTGTATGGGAGTGTAAGGAATTGGAAGGTAGCAAGAAGATTTAATGAGTCACATCCTGACTGAGAACCAATATCCCACACATCTGTAAGTAGATTATTGCACAAATTCAAGGAGACAAGGTCACCAGATCACTCTCCCTTAGACTTTTACTTGTGGGGACATGTTAAAGTGATGGTTTACTCAGAGTACATTCATGATGTCAATCATCTCAAACAACAAGTCATGAATGTATGCCAGTCATGAATGCATGCCAGTCAATCACTCCAGAAGTGTTAGAAGATGTTCAAACTTCATGGAAAAGCAAGATTGAACTCTGCATTATTCAAGGCGGACATCATATCGAACCTATACTGTGATTAAATGGGATTAAATATTAACTAAAGCCATTTTGTCATATAGTCTATGGTGCGAGACTTCTGGAACACCCTGTATATTCCAATTGTGTAATCTTTGAAATTTTATTTCTATTGTACTTTCATCAATATCAACCACTCCATAAATTTATGTAGAATCTATCTAAAAATTTAATTTCAGATGAATCAAGATTTTAGAATTATCAGAACATTTGATCAACGTTTTGGTCAAACTGGAGTTGGACTAGTTGAACCCTAGAATGAAGCTTCTATCTTCATTGGAAGGAAAGTCATTGCAGAAACACTACCACAGTTCTTGTCCATATTTTTTTACTGAAACCAAAAAGCTATATCTTTTGAAGTCATATATTGAGAGAACTGCAAGATAGTGAGATGTGCTTGAAAAGTTTTCTTAAAATGAATCTCACTACATTTTTGCTAATTTTAATAAAATTATAATCATGGTTAGGGTCCACATCTGGCTGATTTGTGATATTGTTGTAAATGCTGCATTCTGGACCACCTAACTACTGTGTCATCCCAAGAAATTGTCTATAAAATAACCCAACCTATGGGAATGTTTTCAAGATTTCACTCAGACCCCTGAGATACAAGCTATGGAAACAAGTACAGCCATGCTTGTGTCACATGCAGTGTTTGCTCTGAAATGAGGTCACAAATTTGACAGTCCAAATTTTTGGACACTTAGATAATGGGTTAACTTGGCATTCAATTTTGTCTCCCAATCAGGTGCTGAGAATTTCTGTGAATGGCCATAATTTGGGCCCTGTGAGCTTCATATACACTTTATTTATATGTTGGCTGGATTAGTTGTGGAGTAAGGGTGAGGGATGCTGAGATACCCACCAGCTTAGGCTTGTTTTGAAACTGTGTCTCATATCCTGAGAGGAAGCCTTCATTATTGTGAGGAGAAAGGACTCAAGACTCTGAAATGGTCCAATGTCTAACCTACATTGCTTAGGTTTGTTGGACATGAGATTTTTAAGATTCTTTTTCCTTACAGCTGTTGGATCACATTTTCAACTTCTTGGCACGCAAGACAGATTTCTACACTGGTGGAGGGGAAGGTGCAGCAGAAAGGGTATGATTGCCTCAAAGACCTGGATCTATCACTTTTCTTCCCTGAAAAGGGCAATTTTGAGTGTGATTCCACTTAAAAAATTTTATGTTTTAGATGATCCTGGAGAAATTTCGTAAACATGAGAAAGTGGCACGGGAAGCATTTGAGAAGAAGAGAGCATCAGCAGAGGAGGCAGAGCAGAAACGAAAGGAACAGTTGGCCAAGCGGAAGGCCAAAGAAGAGGCTGAGATACAGGAAATTACTGATGCTGAAGCTGAGCAGCTTCAAATGGAGATAGACCAGGTGTGTCCACTATATCCTAAAGTCAACTTCATGACAGCTGTTTCATATTGATTCTCAACCTCTCAGGTGCTATTTCCATGGAAAAGTCCATTTACATCATCTGGAAATGCACGAAGTGGTCCTGACATTCTAGGATTGTGAATTTACACATCATATATTAGGTTGTTTCACATGAAATGTCCGATTTAGAAGATGAGATTTAAAAGGCTATATTTTTAACAAATAAAATTTCATTTAATCAAAATATGCTTCATTAGCTTGAATTGTCTTCTCCCAATGGGATACTAAGGAAAATATTCCATTTCTATAAAATTCTACATTTTTTGAATTAACAAACTCCTCAAATGCTCCAATTACAGCCTCTCGGTCCCGGAATGTTTTATTCCGGAGAAACAGCTCCAAGTGACGGAAAAGGTGATAATCCGTTGGTGAAAGGTCAGGTGAGTATGGTGGATGCTGCAAAATTTCATAGCCCAATTCTGTTAATTTTCCCACGGTGGTTCATGACGTGTGGGGTCGAGCATTGTCGTGCAGCAGAATCGGTCCTTGTCGGTTTATCAATATTGGCTGTTCAGTGGCCAATTTTTAATGCATAATTTCAATTTGCTGACAATATGATTCTGCTGTAATTGATTATCCCGGTTGCAAAATAGAATAGTGTATGATTCCCTTTGCAGACCACCATACTGTCACCATGACCTTTTTTGGGTGCAATGGTGGTTTTGGTGCATGTCTTGGAGCTTCACCAGCATTCAACCATTGTTCACTTCTTTTCCGGTAATTGTACAGTATCCATTTCTCGTCGCAGGTAATGATTCGCTCCAAGAATGGCTCTTTGTTGTTCCTGACCATCAGCGATGAACACACCTCCAGGCGTCGCAGTTTCTGGCNTGTTTCTCCGGAATAAAACATTCCGGGACCGAGAGGCTGTAATTGGAGCATTTGAGGAGTTTGTTAATTCAAAAAATGTAGAATTTTATAGAAATGGAATATTTTCCTTAGTATCCCATTGGGAGAAGACAATTCAAGCTAATGAAGCATATTTTGATTAAATGAAATTTTATTTGTTAAAAATATAGCCTTTTAAATCTCATCTTCTAAATCGGACATTTCATGTGAAACAACCTAATATTATATGGTGCACTAAGGGAGTATGAAAGAAAACAGGTAAGTCTTTGTGGTATGCAAGTTTTGAAAGCAATCACAAATTTACTGTGATGCATGAAGGGGATGGACTGTTAGCTCCATACAATGTAGCAATCAGGCTTGGCAGTCATATTACATCCTGGGAGTCTTGTTGCAAAGATAGCCTCTACTGTTAAGGAGTGCTTCTGATGAGATAAACCCCCCAAGTGTAACTTTTCTGAAAACCAGCAAAGGTTCTGAGTATGCCATTGCACATGCTTGAGGCAGTTAAAATGGGATTATTCATTTTTCAGTTGCATTAAATGCATAGGCCAGTTCTCCACTGTCCTATGCAAAAGGGGGGGGCTGGTAACCACTGCAGGTAGATAGGAATGGGAAAAAATTTGCTATATGCCTTCAGTCAATTCACTATTTAGGGGGTGTTGATGCCTGTTAATACATTATTCCAAAAATGAAGACAGTGGTCAAGAAGCATCAGCTTGACACCCTTTGATCTTTTCTTCATTGCCCTGTTGAGGCTCATGAAGAGCCCCTGTTATTGTATACTGAATATAAAGGAGATAAAAGCTTTCCAATTGTATGAAATTCACTGTTATCATGACTTGGAATTCTGAGTAATGAATGGAAAAATGAAGGACTGTATCCACTCAAGAAGTTTGGGGGAAAGCTCTTTCTTTTTTAAATGAAATAATATTGGTGTCACAAACCCGGTGCCACTCACATTACCAAAACAGAAATCCCTGAGATTTGAAATAGCTGAAGGAGACTTAGCTGAATTTGACAACATTAAATTTTCTTAAGGCTGAAGAAAAGTTCATCTGTATGAGAATACTGAGTGATGAGCTAATGATCACTTATGAGCTGATCATCCATTTTATTTTCAACTTTCATCTGTAATTCAATTGTCATTCAAGTTCTAGTCACATACATCATTGGCCACACCTGAGTCTGCTTGATGCTTTTATGCTCAGTTGCAAATTGTAGGCTACACCCTTCAAAAAATCAAGAACAAATCAGTTTCTTTTATCACTTGAAATGTTCTCCAACCATTGCTGATGCTGCCTTTCTGTTTTTTTTTTTTTGTGGCTTTGGAAGGTTGTGTCCTGCGATGAGCCTTTCTGTTTCTTGTTTTGTTGGTTTGTGGTTTTTGTGGTTCATGTTCTTGTAGGAGCACCCATGGTGGCAAGCTTTCTTTTGCCTTTTTGAGAGCATCCAAACACTACTGGATCCATGATGGCATAAGGCTAATGAGAACTATGGCATTGAAAACATGGAGGTGACTGAGTGCCCAGGACACTGGGTTTAATATCCCTCTTCTTTATCTGTCCAAATGCTTAGAGCCACTTTCATTGTTTCCTTATACAGGGTGGGGCATAAAGATCTCCCACATTTTGAAGGGGTATAAAAAATGAACGAAGCTATCTAGAAAAAAAATGCATATATTTCTGAAAAGTACATAAAAAACAGTTTAGTTTTAATGGGTTTTAAAAATCATATCAGGCAAATGGCGGCCGTCGTTGGCAATACATTGCTGAAGACGTTCCTGGAAGTTCTCCATCACTCTCTGGGTTATCTCAGGCGGAATGGTGTTGATTTCCTGTCTGATCCTTTCCTTCAAATCCTCAAGAGATCGAGGACGATGTTTGAAAACCTTTTCCTTTAGGTATCCCCAAAGGAAAAAGTCACATGGGCTTAAATCTGGTGACCGTGCCGGCCACCCCACGTCTCCCCTTAAAGAGATTAAATGCCCAGGGAACATTTCCCTCAACACTCCGAGCGAACGTCGTGCTGTGTGAGCTGTGGCCCCATCCTGTTGAAACCACACATGTTCTGTATCCACATCGTCCAGTTTGGGGCGCAGAAAGGTCTCCAACATTTCAACGTACCAGTCGGAGGTCACAGTTACTGTTGCACCACCTTCCTCAAAAAAGTACGGGCCGATCACACCAAAGTCGGCAACTGCACACCAAACAGTTACGCGAGGAGAGTGGAGCGGTCATTCGTGGAGTTCACGAGGGTTATGTTCAGCCCAGTAGCGAAAATTCTGCTTGTTTACGGCTCCACTGATATGGAAGTGAGCCTCATCGCTACTCAGAAGAACAGCTGCAGCGGGAACTTGTTCAAGAATTTCCGCACTTAGGGCTCTGCGGTTGGCATGATCTCTCTCACTTAATTCTTGAGCCAACATCATTTTGTAAGGATGCAGTTTTAAATCGGCATGCAGAATCCTCCTCAAACTCCGACTTGATATCCCCAGTGCCACGGCATGCTTACGAGCGGATCGCCTTGGCGATTGCTGAATGGATGCTCTTACTGCTTCCACATTTTCTGGCGTTCTAACAGTCCTAGGTCTGCCAGGTGATTTTCTTTTCAGTGTGGATCCAGTTGCCCGAAGGTTAGAAATCCATAGCAAAATCGTTTTCCGATCTGGTACAGATGCATTTCGACCGAGCGCGAAACGTGTACGGAACGCTCTCTGCGTTGCTATCACAGAACAGTTGTTCTCATAATAAGCTTGAACAACGAAGCCCTGATGTTCACTGGTCCAACTCATGATGGGTACTGAAAACGGTAGAGCCTAACCTACCAAATAAGACTTAGCCCACCTCTCTACCCCCACTACAGCCCGCACAGTGCCCCCTCTAAATGTGGGAGATCTTTATGCCCCACCCTGTAGATGGCCTTTTTTTTTTCAAAGTTCACACTTTCAGTGTTTTGAGAAAACTGGGGCTAGATTTGGGCTGGATTTGGCTGTCTTCTTTTGGCCATCTATGTTTCATTGTTTTGATACTGACTCCACAAACCATCTATGTGACATCTATACATCACTGTATCATGATAGCCCTAATAATAATGAGGACTTCTTGAGAATGTATTATCTTTTTTGGACTTTGTGGCATTATTGATCTGTTGAGCCTTTATTTCTCCCATTTATGGTAGAAAACATGCATCCATTTCATTAATTTTTTTTATTTTTATGATTGTAAAGTCAGACTCAGTTTTATTTATTTCATTTGCTAGTATCAAACACATTAATTTGTCAATGAAATTTAACACAAACATGCCATTGATGGAAACTCTTGATTTTTGTCACACTGAGAAAAAATAAAAAATGGAAATTTTGCTCTGATGGAGAGTGGGTGAGAAAAAGTCAGGATATCATGGAAAAAATTTATTTTCCCATATTTTCATCCAATCTTGCCAATGCATGTGTAAATAATTTATGTTCTATTGCCAATGAAAGTGAAATATTCAGAAGATAATAAACTTTTGAAAGCAGAACAATTTACTGCTTTCTATATGCCACTCACTCCTAAAAATTTTTCTCATGTTCATTGGAGTCTTGGGGATTCAGTCTACAAGGTAAAATAAAAAATTGAAGATTCATCAAAGAATCATTTCTCTCTAGCATATTATACTTTCATTTATGATCTGATAGATGGATAAACTGGCTTTCACCAATCTTGCTTGAAAATGTATGCTCCGACGTATGAGAGCCTGTTGGACTGCAGCTGTAAAAGAAATGCTTATCTTGATGAAAATTTGTCAAAATTGAGATCTTTAGTCATTATGTAACAAAAAAGGCAAAAGCTCTGCTATGTTATTTGTTTTGATCTGATAAAAGTGGGATTGATGCCCTACCAATCTGACCAAAACTGAAAAAAATTCTGATCAGCTGAGGGAATCATAATTGATCAGGCAAGGCAGTACTGTTTTGTTCATTTGTACAGTAATCATTTTAACTTCAGCATTTTTCAATAAAAATTTCCTGCACATACATGTATGACTTGTTCTGTAGTGCCTGTTACAGAATCTGAGGCTTTTTATTGAAAGGTAATGACATCAAGATGATGTAGTGTCTGAGTGACAGTAACAATATGGCATTGTCAAGGTGTTATATTTAGCATAAAGTATTAAAACTCAGTTGGGTTCTACTGAAGGATGCCATATTAATAGATTTAATTCAGTTTTTGTTTTTAAAATAGCTCTTTCTATTCATTCCATTGTTTGGTGCATTTGAACTTGTTATTGCACTAAGATCCAAATACACAGCTAAAAAATATTAAAGGGTAACCTTTAATTCCAAGTCTCTGACTTGGTCAGAATAATCACTAACCATGTCAAAAAAGCAACAAGCAACAAACCAATAAGGTTGATGTAGAAATTAAGCTTTCCAGATGCTGCCTATTTATTTTTCCCTAACTCAAGAAAAAAGTTTGCCAAAATGCACAATGACTAGGAGTACATCTTAATTCTTCCCTTTTAAAGCAATTGCCAGAGTATGCAAATCCTCATCAGTTGGAAATAGTGCCTGGTAAGACATCTCTTTACCAGGAAATTTTTCATGATCTTCACAACAGCCCCGACCTGACCTCTTCAGACTTTCATCCCTTCAGGCCATTAACCCCTTAACTGGGAACTTTTGAAGGCATATGTACGGTGATTCCATTGAGAGATGGATAACTCATTTGGATGGGTATTCAAAAGCTAGTGAAATGCTAGAACAAATGCCTGAACATGTATGGTGAATATCTTGAGAAGTTGCAGAAAACATGTGTCATCTGTACATGCCAATTTTTTTGCATGCAATATCATATCTGTGAAAAATTTGTCAGACCCTGTTTCCTACTTTCCCTTGTATATTGGATGATTCCTGTTGATTCATCGCATCATTTTAGCATAGGTAGCAATTACTTTGATCAAGGGTGTGCAAGAGTATTAAAAATAGAAGAGACCCTTTAGTTTTTTCTCTGAAGGTCAATCTGAAGTGGAAAAAACATGCACTTAGTGAGTCACATTAGTACTTCTTGCTACACCCTCTTGCTTTGAGCAAGCTCCAAAACAGCTTGAATCTATTAATTTGGCACCCCTCTCTAACTTTCATTCAATTGGTGAGTGAGAGAGAATGAACAAAAATTAAAAATACGGACAGCTACTCTAAGCCCGTCAATAATCATGATTCTTAGCTGTCTCATTGGTAAGAATGTTGGTCCTGCCCAGACTGAAGTTGTCTTTTTTTGTGTGCTGCATGGTATTGGATGTATCCCCCAATGGGGATACTCATCTTAACAGGATTTCTAAACATTTTCCATTGGTGTTATGAAGCAATTCCCATGATCTTTAGGAATCACTTTGATATGGAATGCAAGAATTGTCACATTGTGGGATTAATATATGCAAGTGGATGAGAAAAGAACAGGAAATGCTATTGCTTTTTGGGAATCCCTTAACATTTTTGTGATTTCATTTGAACTCATGAGCTCCATGTTGAAACTCTGTTATGTAGCTACAAATTAGTCCATTGCTTTCTGTATTGGATTTGTTTAGCATGGAGTAGTGTGGTAAATGAAATTTGACTACATGGAAAACTTGCAGCATTCAGCACCAGCATGGTTCTAGATCCTGGAGCCTTCTATGTTTTATTAACACTAAGAATTGCTAGACTTGCAGAAGCCAAAGAAAAGCCTGCCTCCTCAGTCATAGATGATTTACATATCTCTCATCATAAATGTCTTGCATGATAATTGAGTTGAACCTAGATTTTTATTGTTCAAATTAGATTCAAAACTTGCATATACATATGTGCAATCCAATGCCATTTTCATCTTGTCTTTGATGGTGAACATGCCTCATGTTATGGATTGATTTACAAAGCATGTTAACTGTCAATGCCTCGTTATATTATGGAGGCATTACAGTAATACCTTGCAATACGCTCAGGATGCGTTCCTGGAAAACTTTCTGCGTCCAGCCCCGCATGTTTGAGAACACCTCAAGTCAGTTACAGCTCATTCACATCTATTTATAACACTATTCTTATGGGAAAACTTATTTTGCAACATGCTGATTTGTGATACATTTGGTTTTTCAAGAACACATCCCAAGCGTATTGCGAGGTATTACTGTATTAAGATTGAGGCCTGTGATTCCTTGGATGGAAGCATGTATGGCCATATTTTCTGCATATAAATAATATAATTATGCTTAAACAGCATTTTAACCCTTTGTGGATGAATTTCTTTGATCCTTTGTGTGAATTGTTAGGTTATATTCAACATAAGACTGCAAAAGGTTAAAGACAGCAAGTAAGCTTTTATCTGACTATGCCTGATTCTTATGTTGGTTTAGGAGAAGATTCAAGGAAATGGAGAGATTAAAGGTGCAGAGTTGGCAGGAGCAGGTGATAGCAAGAAGGATGGAGTGAAGGGAGAAGATGAAGATGAAGAGGATGAGAAAGACAAAGGCAAGCTGAAGCCAAATGCTGGCAATGGCTGTGATCTTCCCCATTGCCGATGGACCCAGACCCTCTCAGAGCTGGAGGTCAGTGCCCTAAATATATGGCATGATATATTTTGCATTTCAAAGAAGTCATAGTGGGATTTAAAAAAGGTCTGTTTAATCAACAATTACCTTGGAATACTGGTATTACATTTGAACTATTTGCCATTTGTGCAAAGGAAATCATTAAAGCTTCCTGATTCCTTAATGTTTGGTTAGAAAGAATTCAGTAATCGAAAATGCAAAACGAATTAAAATATCCTAGGATTGTTCCTTGAGATGGCTTAAAATTCCCTTCTGGTTCTTATTTATTTACTCACTATCACTATTTCTCTGAAGGAAACATTGAAGGTGTGGGTGAAATGAAGGTGAATGGGATTTAAAATCCAGAGGTAGCAACCCAAATGACATTACCTGCCTAAAAATTGAATCTTAAACAAACCTTTCATCCTACGTGTGCAGATTCTTGGCATCTCTTACTGTAGGGTGGTTTATTGTGTTCTATGTTGCCAAGACCTCCCTACTTCATTGTTTCTCAAGTCTTTCAATGGAAACTGTAGGAAGTCCAGCAAAAGTGAGGGATAATTTTGGCTTTGTGTTGAAATTCCCATAATTTAATGCTTCCTCTCACCCAAGGACACCCGAATTCATTCAAATCACCTTTGCTTTGAAGTGACAAACACAGAATCAAATAATAACCTTTCAGATAACTTTGTGGCAAATCTTGAATCAGAATAGAATCTTTTGGAAATTGAAAAATCGAGAATAGAGTTGAATCAAGGATTTCCAGTTTAGCTGAATCCAATTTGTCTCATAACTCCTCCACAATGACCATAAAGACTAATTGCCTCAAATTTTGTGCTTCTACAACAACATCAACCAGAGCAGATAGGAATAAGGAGTCCATGGCAGCTACTGTACTCTTATTAGCTCAAAGGAGTTGCTGGCTCTCCTTTTTTTTTTTTTCTTACCAGCATCCATTGGAAAAAATAAAATGAAAAAGTGAGAATTTATATACCCTCATATCTGAATCTCTTGTCATATCTAAAATTCAGGAGTCCTGATGCCTGGTCTGCCTGTCTCTTCTTCAGGAACGAGATGCTTGTCAATAATGACAGTTATGTGTCACAGCATCAGTTCCAGGTTCTTGTGGGAATGAGCTGCCTGTCCATGAACAGGCCTACTTTGATCAAAGAAGTGGAACTGGTAGGTTATCAATGAAAAATGTGTAAAAATCTTGGCTCATAATTGTGCAACATCATGATGGGATGGTCTAGATCTGAATGGATTCTTGACATGGTAGTCAAGATTGTGGTCTAAACCTCTTGAGGAATGCACTTGCACTTTAGTGAGGAAGCTTCAGATGGACTATCAAAGAAATTCAATCAATTATGTGTCATCAGCTTTAATTGCTCCCATATTGTCTGGGATGGTCTATGCAGTATTATACTTGTGCTCCTTTAGTAGTGCAAGTTCAGCATTCTTGTACCTGAGATGGCCAAAACTTCTTGGGCGATTGTAAAACTCTGCTGGTAACTTATTAATGTACTTTATTCCATTGCTGAAGATGACATGAAAATGCCAAAAGAGCTATAGATCAAAGCAACTTCTCTGCATTCCATAAAACACAGCATGAAAACTGATCAGGTAAAACAAGCATCCACTGGTCAAAAGACATAGCTGGAGCTCTTGATCCCTTTCAGCAGATAAAAGGTGTAAATGCACTGGAGACAAAATGAAAGAAGGGGATATGATGCCCATGATCATCACTGATGGTTGCCCTATTGTACAATGCTAGGGAATCTGCCTCCATCCAACAATCCTTAAGTTGCAAAAACTTAACTTAAAAAAAATTTGAGGAAACTATGTACATAAACACTAGACTGGACAACAGTGGTAGTCCATATCACACAGCATATCACAACGACAGAACAAGAGAAGATGAGCTCAGGTGAACATAGCAAGCACAGATATTTACTTGTTTTTTCTTGCATACAGAACTGTATAAAATGGCATACTTAATTAGCAGTTGAGACTCCTTTTTTGTTCTACTACCTGTGTTCAGATGAGATCTAGATTTTTCTTGTGATAAGTTGCTTGTGATTTAGGTGTGCTTGTATTGGCAGTGGTGCTTTTCATTACCCGACTACAGGGTTGTCCCTCTGAAGTGCAGATTGCAGTAAGAACAGGTTCATGACAGAATGTGGCTTTTAGGAAAAGAATGCAGCTCCATCAGGGCGACTTCAATAGGCCAGTTCCGTTGAATTTCTTCGCTTCACTAGAACACAAAGTAAAAGCTTTCAATGTTTCCTGCTCATGGAACCTTGGGAGAAAAAAAGTCACACTTTGACAATAACTGAATAAGTAGATGACAGTTATATCTGAGGGTTTCATTTGTTTCAGTTATCCACAGATACTTTGCATTTGTTCTTTACATCTTGACTTTTTTTGCAGTAAAGTATTTGGAGTAGTTGGAAATGTTTAGATTTGGAGGTTAATCATCAGTGTTTGTTTCACCTTTTTCCACCATAGAAGATAGATTTAATTACAGCAGCCATGCTCTGCAAATTACTTTTTAATGAGAAACTTTGATTAAGTTCCAAAATCTCAGTTAAGATTGGTTTATCAAATATATAATCAGGATTTTAATTAAGCATTCCTCTTGAAACTACAGGGAGGCAGTTGGTAGAGGTGATCCTTCCCAATTGTATACACAGTTAATAGGAATTACCAGAGTTTATGAGAATGAATGGATAGACCATAGGAGTGTGGGAAGGAAAGCAAGCTGGACAAGCACTCAGTCTTGTAGTGGGACCTCCTTTCAAAAGAGAGTGCAAGGTGCTTCATTGCCTTATTCAGCTAAGCACAATCATATACTGATTCTCGATTTCCACAATTAATTTCATATTCAGGATTTTTTTGTTCAAACATGAATCAAGACAAAGTTGAAGCTGCTGGTATCGGGGTGATGGGAAAAGGTAGTAAGTGGAATACAGTAAGTGGCCTGACTTCCACCCTGGACCAACACACTTAAGTAAGTGGCAGTAATTGGATAAGCTGAAAGTTTGTGATGAGAAAAGTATGTTTTAGGGATGAACCTCACCAAGAATGAACTCAACTTGAATCTTATCCACAAGTTTCCTCATACCGATGTTGACCTTGGTCAAGGAAGTGTTATTACTTTTTGTTACTGGTGGGCAAAAGACAAATTGACAGGACAGTAATACCAGTGGTCCCTTTTCGTTTTGAAAAAGGGATCCATTAATGAGATGACTTACTCTCGACAAGGATGATCAGAGAGATGACGACCAGCAGGGCGATGGCACAGAAGAAGCAGACAACCTTCTGAACGCTCTTGGTGCAAGTCCTTGGGTACTTGTCAGGGACCTTGTTTAGGGTCAATTGATGGTGGTGGTGGAGGTTGGTCAGGTAGCTGTTGGTAGTTGACGGAGATGGCATCAGCTGGGGGTGAGCCTGCACGGTCAACACCTGTTATCAACAAAGTTCATCCAGATTCATTAACAAGGCCCATTGACAGCTGTGCACTAATCATAACGGACAGATTCTTCTGGCCAACTTCCTTTCAATGGGATTTCTTGGTCATTATGGATTAATAATGAATGTAGGTTCATCTTTTTTGGTAAAGTGGTGAAGAGCCGAGAAAAATGGGCAGAAAATAATTGGCTTGGAAATGACCCGTAGGTCCATAGGCCGACACCATATAGATATTTATTGTCCAAATAAATATCTTGCAAACAATCTGTGTCTTGTGAGGATGTGTATTGGTAATGATAGTTATTGGCATAGATTTCCTGGCCAAATAATGGCCCCGTTGCAGTTTCATCCCTCTATTTAGTTATTCCTGTTAGCATGTTATTTCAATAAGCTGGGGAGCCTGACATTTTTTTCCGTTTTGGTATTTGTCAGTCCCTTTCTATGTGACATAGAAATCGGATATATCCCTGCGTCTTCTTTTCGGATCGATCATGAGTTATCAACGTATTTCACGTAGGCTGGTTGATGGTTGGAGGGGGGGGGGGGAATCATTAAGGTATAGTTGAGCGGACGAATGTAATTTTTCCAGGAAGTCATTCCTAATGGTAGACCCCGAGCGATCAAGCAATACAAATACTTGTTTTTGCTTTCCTTTGAAATCCTTGTTAATTGAATGGATGAAAAGTGCCTGTTGTTAACGAGTCTATTCATGAGAAACCGACAGAACTTGCTCTGATATTCCAGGAAATCAGATGATTCCCGAAATGAATCGATCATAGTGCTGATACCGTGGTGTCTTCCCTACAGATTCGTGTCTCTTTTTTTTTCTCGGTTTCTTTTTCAACAGATCATGCTCGAGTATTTCTAAGAAACCTATTATTGTCTGATGATTCATGAAAGTCTACGCAACTGAAGTCAGTCTCTGCTCAATTTGTGAAATGAACTCAAAAGTGAAGACCTACAACGCTGATCTCGGGGGGTTTTAAAGCGCGGCCTGCACGTTGGTTGGATATTGTTTCTGGTCGACATTGTGCCCCACGATGAAAAGAAAGCGAGGGGATGATATGGCGGAAATGCATCTCTAGATAAGCCATAACCGTGGAGGCGTGTCGAGCCTTGACGAGGAAAGAAAACATGACTAAGCAAAGACTACGTGTCTGGGTATACTGGAGAGAAAGAGGTGTTTATTTCCGTGATCATTTTTGGATGTCCCTCGTCATGGAAGGCCATTACTGATGAAACAAAACCGAAAAAGGAAAAAGCAACATGAGCTCTCCCCTATTAACTCTGATCCTTGACACCTCCACTACTTGGTGCCCTCTACTCCTTTGCCGGTGTTTGTTCTTGCTTCCCTAGCCAGGTACTCCCTGATCTTCGAGAGCCGCAAGGTTTATTTATATTTTCTTTAAAATCCAACTTCATTTGGGTTATTTTGGCCATGAAGCTCGGCTTGTGAAATATTATTTTTTTCCTCAACAGAACAGTCAAAGCCACTTCCTTCCTGCTACACATTATACACGGTGTAAAGAAAATATAGGTATATATACGGAAATAATATATTTTATGGATTTATTTTGTGAAAGGAACTCCCAGTTCCTCCTCGAGCTGCTGTATGCCCTTCTTTTCCTTTGGTTGCTTAAGATAGTTGGCGGCACTTAGGCGTATCATTGGAGACATTTTAAACTTTCGCTTCGAAAGATACGCAATTTTCCGTTATCGTGGACGAGGGTCAAGGGAAAAGAACTGACCCTATCGGCTGAAGAAGACGCTGGGAGATTTATTGGACCTATACATTTAAAGAAAAGTCGTTTTGTGGGAATGCTACTGCTTCAAATGTCACCAATTTTTTTCTCAGAAGACACAGATCCAATATAAACTTGCCATGTATTTGATTTAAAAAATTTTTGTTTTCAGCTACAAGTTCACTATGGTATCAAAAGGAAATTATCTGACTTTCCTTTTTCGCATAGTTTCCCGCTGCGGGCAGGGAAGCGTGGGATGCAAATGCAAGAGGGTTTTGTAATGGGATTCGTTGAGCGTAAAGCAGGTGGCCATGGCCTTGGGAGCTCTGTACAGCCGTAGATAGGTGGTCTATAGTCGGTACATCCGCTTCCCAGAAACGTGGTTGCTCCGGCAACCCTCCGTGCCTCCACGCTTGAATGCCTTCAGTTCTACTTCACATAGCACGAGACGCAGACGAATTTAGCTGGAATCTTATTTTTACAATCAAAGGGTATCATGCACGAAGTCAGTCTATCTGAAGCCTTGAAGAGCCCATCATGGAATCTAATCAGTTCAAGTTAAACCGATTTCGTGCCTACTACTAATGATGGATTTCTATGAATATCCATTTTACTTAATTGCTGCTCCCCATGTGAATTTTTTTCTTCGTTCTATGTCGGATGGATATTTTCATCTTCATTTCAATATAGTATGGTTATTTTCTTCTTTTCCCCTTCGAGGGAGGAGTCTCTCTAAAAAAAGAAAAACACATACTCTGATAGAGCTCATGCCAGAGTTGTCCTTCAGTTGTAGTCTGGCTTTGCAGCCATGCCCCAATGTTACCGCAACCGTATACGCAGTCTGTTGCAACTTGAATTTTTAAATTCGTCAGATGGCTTTTTAGTTGGAGGGTGATATTCAGGCGATATTTCCTCGGAAAACTGTTCCAACGTCCGTTCCATTGAAGTGGGACTGTAAGTCAGTTGGTTCTGGACTCCAAAGTCTTCATTCCGTTCTAGTGCGACTAAACTGGAATCCGTAGCTATCAACTACGAAGTGGATCGATTTATCTCTGTCTATTTATCAATTCATCTTAGATCATTTCGTTCAGCCTCGCTCATAATTGCATTCTTCCATCCCCAAACCCCATCGTTGTGCTTGGGTGTGAGTATGTTACCAACTGATTCGCAAAATTTCATCCGAATTTATTGGGCAGAAGCGGTAATGTTGGAATGGAGGACTCGAGCGCTGTCCTTCCTGATCTTGATCACGTCGAACTCCTCTTTAATTTAAATTCACTTTTTTTGGCTGGTCGTCTCTTGCAGATGGTTTTCTTGAGCGTATTCTCGATAAGTAACAGATGTATCAATGAGCATCAATTCGGAGAGTTTTTTTGAAGTCATTGATCTACTTTGTCATGTCACTTTGTCACTCCGTTAACCAAGGGAAATTCTGAATAAACTCGAGAAAACTCCCTGGATTGATACTCAAATATTCATCTGCTATTCATTGGGAATAAACTCATGAAAGCCAAAGGACAACCAACCAAAAGAGTGAATTCAAATGAAAGAGGAGTTCGATCTGGTATTATTGATGACCATGAAACACAGCAATCAAGATTTCCTTCACTCCTCTACCAGCAGGAGCTCTAGTCCATTCTCAAAATCTAACTTCTTTTCAATAATTGCTGATATTACCGCATCTGCCATGAATTATGATGAAATTTTGTGAAGCAGTAGGAAACATACTTGTGTAGAGTGAAGGTTTCATGGAAATACCGATAGCTCTAGTGCGAGTGGAGATATTAAGATTTAACATCGTTGGTCTTCTCTTTTGTCATACCTTATAGACCCAGACTGTGATGTAGAGGTATAGGGAGTGAATAGGGGATAACCTTGCCGTGTCAGTGGTATGGGCCATCTTAAACCGGATTTGCGAGGGAGAGTCGAAGGCCTGAGGCAACGGGAGAAAAGACCTCAAGGTCCGACCCTCTCTTTTGCCACTTCTCAACATTTCCTTCTCTCGTTCTAACTATCCGTTCAGGAATCGATCCAACTAGATCCAGGGAGCTATCAGTCCGAACTTATTTTTCTATGTTCGATTATGACTTGATTTTGTGCAAAGTATGGATTTGTTATTATTATTATAATTTTTTTTTAACTTCCCTTATTCATAGGAATCCCGCAGGATATCGTTGAGATAGCTGAGGGAATATCAGTAAAAGACTGTAAAGTGTCAGGAAATTATGATTCTGTACATTGGATTTCTTTCAGAGCCTGCAGTGCTCGTCCTGTATTATACACAGAATATGGAATCCAATTTGACTGCTTCACTTCGTCGTGTGCGCATTGCGAAATTGAAGCAGTGGAACCATGTATGCATTTGGGAAGCACGTAGAAAGCCTGCTGCAATGAAGGGGGCGAGTCTGAAATTTGCGAAGTATTTAGCAATACTATCTTGATAAATGCTAGATAAATGTCAAAATCCCAAGATGAGCTATCGTCTGAAGAGATTTCCGCCCGAAAACCTCGCATTTCTGGCGAGACGTTTGTCAGAGTTTTGCATGCTAAACAATGGTTATTACCATAGAGAGAAAGCCGGGGAAAATGAGGGAATTTCGGAACTTATAAATATGAGAAGAAAGTCAAAATTTTATGAGCTTGCTTCGAAATCAGGGGAAATGTAAATGTAATAATGCACAGCGGCTAGTTCTTCTAGAATGCTAGAATTCATCATTTGCTTTCCTTCAGTTTTTCGACGGCAAAAATTTATTGATTCCTTTGAATATTAAGACATTCCAAACAGCAAGGCTTTCTAGCAAAAAACATCATTAATATGATGATTTAACCTTGAAATTAAAAGAAAAATAAGTTTGGCAGTAAACCCTGCTACGTGCTGAGATTTCGAAATAAAATCATGTTTTATATATGAGACAAAAAATACAACGATTGTACTTTTTACATCTTATATAATTTGCTACAAATGTATGAGAGCCGAATTTTTTAGAATGGTCTCTCGGAATGACTCGATCACCATAGGTTTAAACATTTTAGCACGATGCTTTAGGGAAAAATTAAGGATGCGAATGAAATGTTTCATGTTATATACATGTGTTCACAAAACTGCCAATTTATTGTAGTATTCTTACGTCTTGGGCTCAATAAATGTAAACTTGCAGAAAAGATATGCATAATGTAATTAATCCAAAAGCCCCATGGGATTTGATGGCACTGATGTGTACATTACTTAGGGTATGACGTTGAAGTGTTTTCATCAGCGCTATCTCCCCAGTAAAGTTTTGGATGAATTTGGCACAAGAGTGGAATCAATCAGCATATGATAAGTTCCTGGTTCACGGAGTGTGTATATGGCCTTGAGATTTCGGTAGTGATGCACAGCCTTCTACATATATTGTAAATGCTTTTTTTTTTCTCTATACGTTAATATTTCAAGTTCTATCATATTCATGATCCTCCTCTTCGAAGGTAGTGGGTTCCCTTAAGCATCTACATGCTTTATTCTCTGAGCTGCTCTATGTTAATGCGTGCCCTGATAGGAGGCTCCCGAGAAGAAGGATGCAGGACGCCCTTAAGAATGCACATTGAGAATGCTTAAGCAACGAGGTTTTTTTTAAATGTTATACCACGAAAGAAGGCGCTAAATTTAGTCGAATATTTTTCTCATCTATGGATATTTTGCTGATTCATGTGTAGAACTGGAGGGATGTTTCCTACCACGAAGTCATTGTTGCAGCCGCCTTTCTTGTTGGTCATTCCCAGCCCAGCATCCAGGACGTCGCCTCTCTTCGTCTCCAGTGCTGCCACCTGTAGAAAGACAGGGAAAGACAAGGAAGGGATATTCGCATGAAAATGTGAATGCCCAGGACTTCAATAGCCATGCTAGCTTCTTGTGCCTGAGCGTATGGACAAAGACGAGGGTGTGGAGTGTCTATGGCGTGAGGAAATAGAGAAGGGGTGGTGGGTGGGTCTCTGGCTAACGAAGGCCATTGATGAAGGCCAAACTCCTGCCTGTGTTTGTCTGAGCGTCCCTCCTCCAACGCACACTTCCCACCGACACATCAACCCCCTTTTAAACATGGAAACCCAGTTCTCTCCTGCTTCCAGCATCAGGCTTAATATTTCTCAGTTCAAATAGATATAATTAAAAATGTATAATTGGATGTCCTAGAAGGTGTGGAGGTCTTTTATAATTGGGTAAGGAAGAAGTCGAATGTGCTGGGTATTATGGTAAGGAAGCTGGAGATGGAGAGAGGGTGTAGGGCATGAGCGAAGGGTCATGGGAGGGATCGGGAGATGGTTGTCCGACATCCATTCGCTCTCAGCCCATGTGACCCAATGTCGGCAATTTACTGGGAGTTTGATAACAAGAATAATGCATAACCAGAAAGGGGGGAAGGGGATGAAAGATTTTGTGTTCATATATCATCCCATTTGTTGTTTGAACCACTCTGTCTTTTGCGTTCTCTAGAGTGACTTGGGACAACAGCGGCTGTAAAAAAAAAACTTGTTTGATTTCAATGAAGCATTTTACGCCTCCGTCGACTATAGTCTCAATATGTATTCCTCTAATACTATTCCTTCAACAAGACATAGTGTGATAGCTTAGCTTAAAATGCACTATGGGATTAGCTAACAGTCTTATGGAGCAGTTACGGCGGTAATTTTTTTTTATTCTGATAAAATGATAATTTTAAGACCTTCCAATCTGAGGAGAAAGCGACCACTCCTCCCCCTCCAGCCCAACCAAGTTATATCTATGATGTCTTGCTTAACAAGGTCGTCTTTCTGGGAAACTGTCATTGCATTCTTGGTTCGACTGTGAAGGATGACGTACTCATAGTTTGCCGTTTAGCTTTTATCCAACGCTTTGACTGGGTGGGTGATGGCGCAATGCCAATCTAAACTTGGTTATGCTGTGCTTGGGTTTTGACTAGCTTGCACAGCGGTTGACCCCCGAACTGAACAATCTAGCGTAATTTAACGAAAAATTTGCAATCTCTCCAGGCCTATTGAACATGGAAAGATTGACTTTCCTTGTCGAGACTATTGAAGCCTTTAGTGGACGGACCTTCAAGAAACCAAATCATTCAGTGGCTCATGGTCGATGCATTGAACAGTAAACGTGAAGTCTAATTGAATAGCACGATTGAGTAATATAGTGAGTAATTGAACATCTGTATAGAATACAAAGAGTAAATGGCTTAATAGGGAGTAAGTAATATTGAATAATAAAAATGCGTGCTGTTGAGTCAAAAATAAATGTTGTAAATAAATAAATAGTTAATAAATGCCGCTAATCCATTCAAGAGATTCCGGGTAAGGTTCTGCAGGCTGCAGAATGTCGTGTCCTAAAATGAGAGGAGGAGAATGGGAATGGAATTCTCCGCATTCCATCCCCATTGAATGGATAGACAAGGCCGAGCATCCCGGTATCTTTTATCCTTTCTCGTCCTTCAAGGATAAACATAGTCTCGAGATGTTTTGTTCCTTGGGCGAAACGGTGCAGCTTTCTGTGTCTCGAAGAGGTGTAGGGAGCAAGGGAATTCTTTTGTTTTATACGTGTATTTTTCTTTCTTTCCGCTATATTCTACCCACAAAGGGTCAAAGGCAGCGGCGAAGCAGAAGGCTGTAATCCAATATAATGGCGTTGCAGGCAGTGGATGGCTGGCAGGACGTCCGGTGCATGCAATGCCAACGCCGTATTCCGATTTTTATACCCTTTCTTTATCAGGTAATAACTGGAATATCCTCTTGCGGCCATCATTTCCTAAACATGGGCTTGATTTTAATTTCATTTCTTCCCAAGCGGAATTCTTGGGAGAATCGTCACGAGACTTACCTCCTGAGTAAGAAAAGCCTGGTTGCTAAGAGCCTACCCTTTGTGGCAGGCGCGGTCATACGTAAAATACTTGCTTTTCTGTCTGCCGTGGTAAATGCAAAAAAAGGGGGAATGGGGGGGGGGGGGGGGGAAATTNGGGGGGGGGGGGGGGGGGGGGGGGGGGGGGGGGGGGGGGGGGGGGGGGGGGGAAATTATGAGGGAAGAAGGAGGGACGATCGGTGAGTGACCGGCGGCGAACGAGAGAATGGCTTGAGACGGAAAAAGGACCGACCTTGACTCCCTCCACAAGAGGCGTGGCGTGACTCCTTTTTTCCCCCACTCCAATTGATGCTAGAGACAAGAGGGAGGACTAGATAGATCTAGACCTCCGGCCAAATACTTTCTGCATTTATGTCCCTCCCCCCCTCCATATCCTTCGGGAGGGGGGAGATTGGAAGATTGCTCTTACATGCCCTTATGAGATGCGTTAAAAAATAGTTTTTTTTTTCTCCTTGTATTACTCTCATGATAAAGTCCTATCACAGCAACATTTTTGAAGTGTCCGACTTTCCAAATGTATCGGAAGAGGTACTCACTCTTGGAGCTGAAGAAGGCTAAACTATGCGCCCAAACCGTGTTCATAAATTTCCTGACTGTCGATCTCCTTTGACGATTGACCATAAATTTTCTCTCCTGACCTGTCTTCCAAGGCCCACCTCTTCATTTTTTTTATCCTGTAAAATCGATCCAAATATGGTCTTGGACTGGGCTATTTTCTTCTACTGTACTTACGAATTTCTTATTTCGCATTGACACAGGTATAGCATCCTCTACCCATAAATGGATCCATACCCGAATGAGTTTTTTCTTTTTACTTCTCTTGTGCCATCAGGGTGGAAGGATGTAATTATGCAGATGTGCCATGAAAAAAAATATATGATCGGCGTCCATACCGATTCCAATCAATGTAGAAAGGTCTTTATTTAAAAGTCATATAAATCCTAGTGGGGATTGAAGTGCAACTGTGGAACTCATTTCCAAAATTGATTGCCCACACCCACCTTGGAAAAAATTATCACTGTCACCTTGAAACTGTGATGTTGTTGCCGCGTGGCATTGAAGGACTGGATACGAAATGTTTTTAGCTTCTGGGCTTGTATGAGGAAACAAAAAAAAAAGAACAAGGAAAATGCGTTGGTAAAGTATGCCATGAGGGCCCTCAAGTCACTCTTCCCGTCTCGATGTAGTCGAGTTTACTTCCTCTCTTTCATTACGTTTGTTTCATTTTATTTTCATTTTATATTTATATATTTTTGTGGCATTACAATGCCTATTTTTCCCTCTTTCTTTGGAAAGTGGGTATATGAGGGAGATGTGGTATGAATGGTCGGTCATCCGTGGGAGATGGAAGGAATATCTATAATAATTGGCAAGGAAAGTGCTCCACGCGCCTCCCTATCCGCTGACCTTGCTCTTCTTTCTTATCTCCATTACGAGCAAGGGATTGGTATAGCATGTGTTTTCTCTGGCTGCTTCCTTGACGTGTACAGGACAAGTCCGGCTTCCTAGCTCAGCCATCCTTTTAGCAGACTAAAGTGCACCCTGTACTATGCGCATCATTCAAGATTCCTTTGAATATAATAATTTAAGAAGTTATGATGTCGTAAAACTAATTCTTGTGACCATATTTGGATTGACAGTAAAACAAATCGACAAATAAAATGATACCATGCGTATGAAATAGTTAATTTGTCTGACATCACTTACGGGAAAAGACAACAAAGGGAGGGAAGATCCGCTTGTGAGAGTCCATTCTGCCATTAATTCTGGCATCCGCTCAGTTTTGCCACGTGATACCAACTCTCTCTTCTCGAATTTGCACGCTGCCTTTCTAGGAAATTGGACTTTTCCGTCTTGTTCTGCATATGGCCGCGTGACTACGTCTTGTGTATTGCACACGACTGGAGATTCAGTCCTGGAAGATGCATTAACTCCGTACGGCTTAATGTGGAAAGGACTTTCAGCTCGTTGCTTTCGATTTTGGATTGTAACACCAAGGATGGCAGGACTCCGACAATGCTCTAGAATTCTCAATGCAGGTCTCGTACTTCTCCCTAGTCTGAGTAATGACTGGACAGGAGGAGGGAAAAGTGTTCTGAGAATGGCTTCCCCACCTGAATGATCCTATCCATAAAAATGGCATAAATATATATGAAAATTAAGAAGTCGACCTTGGACTCGACGAACCTTCAAAATCGATTTTCTTTTTTGAGAAAGGACTATTATTTGGGAAGTGGAGATGGAGGGATGGTGAAATCCTGCCCTGGGCCATCAGCCTCACGACCCAGGGTCATTTTGTAGTGATTCATGCCTCTCCTTTGCCTTAAAATTAGGGCTCTACCGATGTATCAACAACCACCGGTATCCGCCACCGGTGTTGCACCATCGGTGCTATCGGCCGTCGGCAGGGTTGCAAGTTGCCGGTGCCGGTGCCCAAAGTAGGGGCAAAACGAAAAAAATAACGTGAGCGTGTGAAGACGGCTTGGCGCCGCCCTTCATGTCTCACTGAAGGCCTCTCCCGGACAAAAATATCAATCGGTTTATACATTATTTCGGCCCGAGCGTAGGAACTAGCGGAGGAAAATAACGACAAAAGAACGGGGAATCATTGCATTTCCTTTCCTGTTATGCTTTTGCGAGAAATGTGTAGTTAAAGGCGCTTAAAGAGCAGCAATCGGTCACAAGCTAACCACTGACGGACACATAGACAGACAGACAGGCTGAACAGGCCTAAAAAGTGATCTCTGTCGTTTTAAGGAGGCCGCTGATAAGTATCACATGGCTTGAAATGCATGAATACAAAGACATGAATTACAAAATTCTTTGAAAACGGAATTGCAGGCCTTCAGTTCCCTCCTTGGCAGAAAATCCAGACTACCCCGTAGAAATACCTACAATTAATCCGGTCTAGTTTTGACACGTTTTAGGACTTATAGAAACAGCCTCGAACACCGAAAAACATTCTGTGAACTTGAATGATGAAGTTAATAAGGGAACAAAGGAATATTCTGTCCAGGTGAGAATGAGCAGCCGGGTGGAAACCGCATAGGTCGGACTCTGTCACGACCAAGGACACTTTCTCCTCGACAGGATAAGTATTAAAAAAAAA